GGTGAATGAAGAGCACTGATAACATTGGATTTCACATTTTAACTTGTATGTGTTATTTAATCAACAATGAATGTGGACACCGAGTTATGTACGTGACAGTTTATACAGTTATGTTTTTTTTTCTTCAATAAGACCACCTATATTTAGCTATTTGTCATGGTAAGGTAGTAAAAAAAAAATGTATAAGACATACACACGTCTGATTTGGCGAGAAGAATATTACAAAATATTGCAGTTTGAACTTTTTCATGTCATGTACATAACTAAGACACCGTTATGAAAAGACACCGAGTTATGTACGTTACTACCAATCAAAAAATTAAAATAAATTATCATAAATAAATTTATTTATTTCTTACAGCATGAATTGCACCTTCTGCATAAAACAAACATATATTGAATTTAAGGTACAAGAAGTTATTATTTGTATGTAAAACTACTTACTTTTGGTGTCCACAGTTATGTACGATTAAGTACAGAAATCTTACATTTCAGTCGTGAAATAGTAGTTTACAAACTATTTACACATTGCAAATTATGTTTCATTCAGGAAACACATCATTCCTTCAATTCTCGCTACCCTAAATAGGTACGAAAATCTCGAAATTCGCGAGACGAGGTAATTTTCACTCTCTCGGGTCGTCACTACAACTTCGGTATAGAGTCCCATCCCGCTGGCGCTAGCACCTGTGTTCGCTGTGCAGAGTTTTCACGCACGCTAAAATCGATGCCAATCAGTGCAGCCTCACAAAAGAAAACCATCGTCACTGATGTCAAAAGACGCAAAAAACAACGAATGAAATGTTCAAATAGACGTTGAAATATTTGAAGAAAAAAAACAAGACCGAGCAGACGACATATTCGGTGCATACACGTTGTGTGGCGACGGCGTTTTACGTTTGCGCTATCGCGCCTAGTAATATAGCGCCTGCACAGGAAGCTGTAATGTCAAAAAGCTATCCCATAATGCAATGCGCGTTTTCAGGATTTTCCCCGGATCTCGGCAGAATCGCTATTTGGGGTAGCGAGAATTGAAGTCATTATCAGACTAATGCAAAACCTATCTGACAATGAGGCAAAGAGAAAGCATGTAGAGAATAAGATGTACTGTACATAACTCAGTGTCCACATTTGTTTTGGCCATATTCTAATAACTAAATTGAAAAATGTTGATATGGAAATGGTTTTAATTTTTGTTTACGGTATGTTTTAACATCTAATGTACTTTGTCAGAAAAAAGGAAAAATTATAAGGGAAATATCAGCATGAAGTGGACACCGAGTTACATGTATGTACGTAAAAATTTTGATGATGTGATATTTAGCTACTAATTGCCGTTTAACGGTAATTTGTTAAGGTCTGATTTTTTAGCTATGTGTTGCAAAATGTTTGCAGATTACAAAAATAATGTTGCCACAGTCTATAATTGAATTTTAAAATTCACCTCATATATGTAACACTTTTGTGCCCTTTATCAGAACCATGCACACATAGTTTAATACATGTTGTAAACTTGTTAGCCCCACATAGGGATAGAAACCATTAAACAATTTCTTAAGAACACTCATCAGATTTTCACTTAACTGTGAAATACTTGTGAATGAAGTTTGATGGTGATTTTTTTGTTGGAATTGTATTCTTATGGGAAATTTTCTCTTATTTCAAATCACTGCCACTACTATAAGATAAAATAGATTTTGCAAGAGTACAATTTGATGTGTATACATTTAACATTTGCCTCTCCAGTTTTCATAAAGACACATAATTTGTATGTTGTGTAATCTCTTACAGTGTACTGTATGCTGTGGTAGTTACGTAGTCATTCAGTGATAGATTGTGTGGGGTGGGAGGAGGGGAATTCAAGATTTTGAATCCTCCACCTCCTCCTCCTCCACCTCCTCCTCCTCCACCTCCCCTTTCCCCTCCTCCTCCCCTTTCCTTTCCTTCCCCCTCCTCCCCCTTCCTCCCCTTTCCCCTCCTCCTCCCCTGTCCCCTACTCCTCCCCTTTCCCCTCCTCCTCCCCTTTCCCCTCCTCCTCCCCTTCCCCTCCTCCTCCCCTTTCCCCTCCTCCCCTGTCCCCTCCTCCTCCCCTGTCCCCTACTCCTCCCCTTTCCCCTCCTTCTCCCCTTTCCCCTCCTTCTCCCCTTTCCCCTACTCCTCCCCTTCCCCTCCTCCTGCCCTGTTCCCTACTCCTCCCCTTTCCCCTCCTCCTCCCCTTTCCCCTCCTCCTCCCCTTCCCCTCCTCCCCTGTCCCCTACTCCTCCCCTGTCCCCTACTCCTCCCCTTTCCCCTCCTCCTCCCCTTTCCCCTCCTCCTCCCCTTTCCCCCTCCTCCCCTTTTCCCTCCTCCTCCCCTTTCCCCTACTCCTCCCCTTTCCCCTCCTCCTCCCCTGTCCCCTACTCCTCCCCTTTCCCCTCCTCCTCCCATTTCCCCTCCTCCTCCCCTGTACCCTACTCCTCCCCTTTCCCCTCCTCCTCCCCTTTCCCCTCCTCCTCCCCTTTCCCCTCCTCCCCTTTCCCCTCCTCCCCTGTCCCCTCCTCCCCTGTCCCCTCCCCTCCCCTTTCCCCTCCCCCTCCCCTTTCCCCTCCCCCTCCCCTTCCCCTTTCCCTCCCCCTCCCCTTTCCCCTCTTCCTCCCTTTCCCCTCCTCCTCCCCTGTCCCCTCCTTCCTTTCCCCTCCTCCTCCCCTTTCCCCTCCTCCCCCCTTTCCCCTCCTCCTCCCCTTTCCCCTCCTCCCCCCTTTCCCCTCCTCCTCCCCTTTCCCCTCCCCCTCCCCCTTTCCCCTCCTCCCCCCTTTCCCCTCCTCCTCCCCTTTCCCCTCCCCCTCCCCCTTTCCCCTCCTCCTCCCCTTTCCCCTCATCCTCCCCTGTCCCCTCCTCCCTTTCCCCTCATCCTCCCCTGTCCATTCCTCCCTTTTCCCTCCTCCTCCCCTTTCCCCTCCTCCCCCCCCCCCCCCCCCCCCTGTCCCCTACTCCTCCCCTTTCCCCTCCTCCTCCTCCTCCCTCGCCCTCCCTCTCCCCCACCTCACCTTCCTTTCCTCTTGCCCTTCCTCTTCCCCTGTGCCTTTCCCCTCTGTCATTCCTTTTTCACTGCCCTTGCCCCTGCCCCTGCCCCTGCCCCTGCCCCTGCCCCTGCCCCTGCCCCTGCCCCTGCCCCGGCCCCGGCTTCTGCCTAATACTTTGTGGCAAGATGTGAATAAACATTTCAACAAGGTGTCAATTTGTGCCTTGTGTGATTAAATGCTACATATTTGGCCTCTCAGCTGTATATAGGTGTGCTAGGATTGTCACAATGTGATAGATATAAGGGCCATTAATACAATCAATACCATCATTTGAGTATCATTGTTATAAATAGTAAAAGAAAAAGAAACCATTTGATTTAATTTTGTGTGGACTCATAAATACTTTTTTCAAAGATACTAATTCAACTCTTTTTCATTGACTCCTTCTAGTTCCCCTGGCAGCTCTGATCTTCCTGGGTGTTATCTTCATCTTTCTCACGTTCCTGGTACTTCTCTTCATGTACCTCAACCGTATTGCTTGCTTTGCTAGCTGCGGAGGGTGTCCTTGTATGGAGGAGAAGAAGAAGAAGAAGGAGAAACAAGCCATTCTGGGTAATGCAGCAAGTCAATTTGTTTTACTGGATGTATACTGATTCACATGTATCTTTCAATTTTAATAAGTGTAATCAATCAGTGAATTACACATTTATCATATAAAAATAAACAGCAATTCAATTTCCTACCATATATACAGACACCCTTTTTTATGTAAGCACAAAATTAAAACAACACATATTTTTCTTATGTTTGGTCATTTATCTAATTATTCTTGTAATGTCTATGATAATGATGATGTCAGCATGTCATTAGGTTGTTTTTTGCAGTGACCCTTGATTGCAAGACAGGTGTTAATTTTTTTTGTTGAGAAATCAGCATCTCTCTTTCTCTTTTTATTTTGTTACCTCTTGTTCTCTTTTGCTCTCCTCCTTTCTTTACTGTGTTTCCCTCTCTCCATCTTGCTGTTGATATGTTAACCCTCCAGGTGAGAGCTTTGGATATGAGGATGAAGGGTCTTCATCTGACAGTGAGGATGAGACCATTCTCCGGTATCAACAATCCCTCCTACCTCCTAAGAGTAAACAACCTACCATCAGCACCAAACTCAAGAGAAACACAACCATCACTATTGGAGGTATGTCCATTTATTTACTATTTTAAGATGCTCTGTAACTATCAAGATTATTGTTGGTATACAAATTTATCTCAACTTAATTTGATCTTGTGACAGTGTACCAAAGTGTTGGTCATTCCCAAGTAATTATTTAAGAAATAAAACAACAAAAATATAAAAACAAACAACAAAAATCCATATCAAACAAACAAATCAAAACAAACCAAGAAACAATACATTTGTTTGGATAGTATAGGATAAGGACACTTTAGCACAGTTGCTCATATATACTTTTCATTGATGGGTATTTTCTCACAAACCTCTAACCATAAAATACATGTATAGGAAAATTGGCAAAAAGGCTAAGGTGTCTAACCCAACATTATGTTTACCCAAAGTACACTATAGATATTCATGAATATATGCTTTATGAATGTAGATAATTAATGTTTGTTGTTGTTTTCTTCTGATTTGTCTCCTTCTCACCCTCTCTGTATATTTGAATGTTGTGTTGTATGGATGGTTGCAACTAGTCACTTTGCTCTCTTTCTGTTTCTCCTTATTTGTTTGTATACTGTGTTATGGTGCTTGTGACTGTATTTCTCACTTTTCTATTTTCTCTTGATTACATCAGGACAATCATCTCACATGTAATCCATGCAAGCATGTTTGTAGATCTATACTACATGGTCTATTATGTACAATGACGTTTTTATGTTTTCTCATCTTTGAAGTTGCTGAAAAGAGGCATATTAGATTCTCCATTTACATTCAGTATCATAAAATGGGGCTCTATATTTATTTTGTATATCAGAGATAGTGCTTTATGAGGTTTATGAGGGACATGTGTGATATGTATGCCACTCTAAATATTTATATAAAAAAAGAAAAGATTTTCTTAAAAATGAATTTGATGTATTCCTTGTACCTATGATCGGGATTCATGCATTGTGCAGCTGGAGGTACATATAATGTGGTATCAAAATCTGAAATGAAACCATGTACGTGAAGTATAACAACACAAATAGTAGTATATGGGTCTCATTTTGACTGCCCATTTGTGTTAAGTGCTGAGGTTAAAGGCCAGATCATGCTGCATTCGAGTGGGTAAATTGGTACTGGATCAACATTATCACTAATAGCATGCTGAGAAGGGACTTCACTGTCATCATATAGTATACATCTTACTTTTCAGATAGCAGAATTACATTAAACATATATTATATCAAGGAACTTTATACAAGCAAAGAAAATTTATGAGAGCAGGCCTGCATGTGACTTGTGTTTTCAAATGTGTTTAAAGATAGTCTATCCAAATGATAGTAAAGGGGCGTTTGAGTTGGTAATGTTAGCAATATAATTATTATTATTATCATCATAATCACCATAGCCATTATTAACATAGTTATAATTTCATCATCATTATCATCACCATAGCAATCTTAGTAGTAAATATGGTTAGTTTACATGTTTTGTATTTTCCATGACACTGAAAGAAGTAAAACAAAATCACACAATATTTAGAGTAAATTTAATATATGTAAAATGATTGGCCTCAAACAAGACAGAGATCCAACTTGAAATATTTTTATATGGTCATGCTAGAGAAAGCAGAGATAAGGGCTGAACTAAAGCAGAGAGTAGGGCTGAATTAAAAGCAGAACGTTTGTCATCTGGAAGGCAGCTTGAGAAAGATGCAGTTTCATATGACTACTGGAAATATATTTAGAATAAAATAGGTATCGACTATAATGTTTCATTTTTTAAAACAGATTTGATTCATTCATTATTCTCCCTGATTTCTTGAGATATCTGTGATAGTTTAACTTCTTTCAAATATTCACCATGAAAACTGATGGAGAAAGAAATGTTACTTTCGCTGTTTTAATACTTTGAGCACAGTTGAAAAAAAAACATGAATAGGTATTATGAACTAAATGCCTGTACATAATGATTAGTAGGCTACCGATGCTACAAACATCTGGCTGTCACGTTACTTCATCAACTTTATCACATATTTTTAGTAGAAAATGTAGTTTAGGAGTAACATTGGAGAGGCATTTGATTTTACTTTTTCTTTGTTTCTTTTTCTTAAGGGTATTTTTATTCATTGCCAATAGATACCTTTCCTGTTTTATGTATGGCAGTCAGTTTTATTCAATTCATTCATACTCTTTGAGATTGGTTTAGTTAGTGACGTACATTCAGATTAGACTGAGACTGGTTCCACTGGTATGGTCAATTAAATATTGTTTGCTGGTCATCATTAGTTTTGAACAGGTGCCTCTAGTTTTATTATAGTTAGACGATCGATCTACAACTTATGAACACTATATTAAGATATATTAATAAGATTGAGAATAGTATAATAGGGAGAGCTAAAGGTAAAAGTGTAGCAATAACTGTAATTAATGATACTGAAGTAGAAATTCAGTAGTTATATATTTTCATACTTTAAGCAATAAATGAAGAGATATGCTTTGTGAAATAAATTAGTAGACCTATTTTCTTACATTAGAAAATGAACTTGATCTCCTGTCCCTTTTAAAATCAATGTCTGGATTTGTCACAGATGGTAGTTCCCATTCAAAGTACAATAATACTAGAATCCACACTACCATAACCACTCAAGTTCACAAAAATTACAGCAGTGTATCCAGAAAACAATCTTAAAGCTTGGTGATTTGATGAAACTTTATGCTATATGTGTATATTGTTTGAGTTTATTAAAGGTATATTCTATGAGCATAAATGTTATGCATAAATATTGTCGGATTGGTCTTATTTTATAATTGACTGAGCTTTTGTAAACTAAAGCCGATTTATTTCCCTCTGTACAATGGATCACCTCATGAATAGATAGAAAATATATCAATATTGTTAATTTCTTTGTTGAATAGTAGGTTGTAAAAGGTTTTATAATTCTTTTATAGACTTTCTATAAAAAGTAATGGATTTTTAATGAGTTTCTTAAATACTCTTGCTTCAGAATAATTTTGAATATTATATTTAAACATCATTCTTATCACGATTATCACGATAATCATTGTAAGATTGGTATAAAAGTGCTATTTAATTCACCCATGTCCTTTCTTTTGTCTTTTAGCAAGAACATTGTATGAAAAAAGTACATAATCTACATTTATCAGTCATTATCAGCTGTAGCTTGTTAATACAAAAAGTGACAAATATATATTTAATGTTGAAATTCATAGTCAATATACTACATGTAGGTATTATTCTATGAACATGTGGGAAGAAAAATAAAGCGGTAAATATGGAAAACTTGATTTAATATCTTTGGGAATTTCAAGAGAATTAAGCTGTTGAACTTATAAATCTACTGTTCTTGATTGGAATGCATCATACGAAGGAGAGGAATTCATGTATGTACATGATGTAGAAGATGGAACAGGAGAACACCAAGATGCTCAGAGGAGTTTCTTAGAGAGGGATGGAGATATGGAAATGACAGGTGAACTGGTCTGAAAATAAAAACTTGGGTGATGTGATTTTAACAATTTACCCCCTCTGTCTTCCTTCTTCCTAATATTATTTGCAGTTTCGATAACCCATTGAATATTAAGCTTAAGATACATGTAATTCAAGACGAATCCCATGGGATAAGTGTATAGGATGAAAATGTCACCATCTTTACATCTAGATGCAGATAAACTAATCCTAGTGTTTTAACAAATGAGTATGGAGTGTTTATGTGATTACATACATTAATGAAATGAATGTGAGTGAGAGGGAGTGTTAGAGAGAGAGAGAGAGAGAGAGCACATGACCAACTAGATATGAAGAGATTTAATGTGAATAATATGTTTTTTTAACAGTGCAGTTCCAGCTTTAAAGGTACTATGTCCGTTTTGCAGCCAACCTCAAATTCTGTAGAACTTTGCAGGAATTATGAATATGTCATGTATGTCCTATCTGTGAAATTTAAACGTTAGCAGTGTCCTAATATTCAAATTCTGCAAGGAAACCCGTTAACTTGCTAGACTTCACTGTCAGACACTATTGAGTGACTGACAGGCTTTTTTCTTCTTTGGTAATAATATACATAACATGAGCTGTATGAGCATTTGTCTACATCAATAACCCACTTCTTGTGATGGCCAAAATTAAACTGATTGAATCTTTGCGCAGTCTAAAACGTATGACCATTCGGTACAATGTTCTGAAAATCAGACTATTACTTACTGGCTCTATAGCTCTTAAGTCGTTTCGACTACTAATAGTCGTTATTTTCCCACTTAAAGACATTTTCAAGCCCCCTTTTTTTACGGAAGTTATAAATTAGTATTATCTTTCAAATGCCGTTGGAATTTAACCTTTTCATTTTTTTGGCCTGCAAATGGGACATAGTACCTTTAATGCTAATTTGAATTTGATTTGCGAATGAATATCTCGATCACTGACTATAAGTTAATTTTATCTCAAAATAGTCATCTCAGTTTTATGAATTTTTTTATTTTTAAAAATTAAAGTCTAAATGCCTTTACTACATGTATGCTATGCTGCATATACTTTTGTGACGTGGATCCATATGCTGAGGAAGAAAAAAAAACATAGTGCTATATTTGATTCATGTTGTGTGTTTGGAGCCTCAAGGTCATTATCTCATATACTATTAAACAGAGTTATTTCCCTGTATGCTCCAAGCAGACGATCATACAGGGTTGAAAATAGCCTTCAATTTTCCATATGTGTTCATTCAGTTGAAACTAATAGCACGTGTAAAAAAAAAAAAGAGAAGGGAGGGGATCGTGAAGCCATATTGGTATTTATTATACAATATGTTTGAATGGAAAGGCAATCCTGGAAGCAAGTTGAATTTAGCAAATTAAAAGAAGATATGGTAGAGAAACAGATCAGTAAAAGCTTGAGGAAAATATGATTCAGGATAACATGTTTTTTAAGGTTTGAAGTGGTAAATCAAGCATATTATTGGGAATTTTTTGATACCCCTTACAAGCAGCTCACTATGTTTAAATTTTAAAAGGATAAATTAATTCTTTACCCTATACTATAGCTGTAGATACCATTGGATGCATGTTTGTACACACAACAGCCTTCATGGAAAAAGATCTCAGTATTCTTAATCATTAACCAACAGGAGGTATATGTGGAACAAGTAAGAGCTGATCGCAATGGAGTTCATAAAATTTGCCACTTGTGTTTAATTGATTGCAAATGTAAAAATTGTATTTTATCAGACTTTGTTCCTTCTTTTACACTAACATGGTATTTTTCATATTCAAATGAGCTTAATTCATATTGATATTACAATGTTTCTTGAATAGAGTTGTCTCATGCTTTTCTTGTGTTCTTTCAAATATAGTGAACGGTGTATTGTTCCCTAACCTTGCAATTTTTTGCAAATATTTTGTATTCATGTCGCAAAAGACAATTTATGCAATTTTCACTGATGTGTTGATATATCTTATACTGATATAGGGTGTGAAAGAAAGCAGCTGGAGTGAGTGTAATGGTTGTACACCAGGTATAGACTTACCATATCACATACTGTCCATAAAATAGTTGTACTTCCAGTCTGAATCACACTTAGAATCCCGACACAGCACTAATATCCTTTGGCAAGATATTAACCTGCACTTGCTACCCTCCACCCAGGTGTTAAATGGGTACCGGTAGGATACAACCGTCATTGTCGGTCAAACGGTTTTAAGCTTAAGTAAGGCCTGGCTGGAATGCTCCCCAGGGAGTGAAGATTGTGCACACAGTGTGTGCGGGCAAGTATTGAATCCAATGATGATAATAATGGTAATAATGCATCTGTAAAGCGCTTAGAGACATCATAGATATATAAAGCGCTATATAAAAGCAGAGTTGTTATAATTAGTAGCCTATTAATGGTATATAGACTATCCTGTGCAAGGATGAGATTAAAGACCACATCCGAACTGAAAAATGAAACGATGAATTATATATCAACGAAAAGCTTATAAACCATAGATTACAATAATATCAATATGCTATTTTAGTGTCTGTCAGAGGAGTATCAGCTCTCTAAAAAATCAAAATCTAAAGCTTTGAAAATCGGAAGTCGTTGACCTAAAAAACTTGCTATTGACATGATGACATCATCTTGTGTAACATTTAACATATTTACATATTTACAGTTAGAAATATAAACACATGACAAAAAATAATCATCCTTAATTTTTATATTTTCTTATTATAAATAAAAGAAAATATAATGGCAAAAATAGTCTATTCTGACGAATTGCCAAATAAAACCAAATCAAGTAGAAGTTGTACCTGCTAGCATTAAACTAAATATTGGTATCGATATTGGTCTGCTCGGAGTCGGTTAAGGATGTGAAATTAATTAATTCAGAAATGGTTTTGATAGAAATGGAACAAATATGCAGTCAAAAATATGTGGAATTAAAGTACCAGTAACTTTTTCTTTTCCACAGTTTAATATAGAAAAATGCTGTTAGGGCAAAATAAATCTAAAATTTTCATTTGGAGAATTATAGTATTCACTTTTGGGCCTGGAGACATCTGAAGAGAATTTCCTGTCATGTTGTTGATACTATAATCCTTCCTTCATAATGTTACCTTTTATGACAAGTGATACACTGAATAATGGCTAATAAGTGATAATGAAATACATGACCAAAATTTATGCTTTCCTTTTGTGTACATATTCCTACTCATTTTTCTGTTGCAATAAATTTTGTATCTCTTCATGTCATCATGAGCAATTCATTTCATAATAACATTTATGTGAGCTTATAAATGTTACCACTAATAAAAAAAGAGATCAGGAAAATTGAAGATTCCAAAATTTAATGAGAGAGTGCCATAAATTATCCATGATATGTCACCTTCACCCATAATCTGTTGAAATTAAAGAAAATCATTCAGTTTTGTTGCCTTGTGAACTGTGCTAAAATCATAATTGAGATATTGATTGTGGACTATTGTTTTCATGCTGTATTCTGGGAAGTCCGGCCCAAAAGATGGCCTTGGAGTTGGTTTGTTATGATGTATGGCAGGGGATGACGTGTGGTATATCATATGTCATTACATCTATTTACATTTAATTGAAGAACAGTATTAGACGTTTAGTGTGGAGGGGAAGATCTCAGGTATTGTGGATGTGAATTATATGGCTTCTATATTGAAGAGGATATCATTTGGAGTATAAATGGAATAAATATTCAGGTAGCAGCTAGACTGCAATATATGACATATGTTTATATGTACTGACGTATTGCAAACCAATCACCTGTTGTTTCCTAAACACTTCTCAACCGGGTTTATTGATTTCTTCAGAGCTGTACCTCTCTCTCTTGCTGATTGTAGCTGTATAACAATACAACATTGATTGTACAGCCAAGGATGATTCTGTTAGGAAAGATGGCCATTCTCTAGTGGACTCTTCCCCATTTATACAGTCTTCAGATGGTGGACTGAGCAGTGCTTTGATCTGCCTGGAGTAAGAAAGACGGTAGTCATCTGACTTTGCCGATGCATCAGACAATGCTTTGCTTCTGAAATTTCATCTAGTAGTTCCCACTAATGAGATTGTGTATTGTTGTTTGGTGGTGAAAGAATACATTGAATAAAGCTCATCAAATGATGTGATGTTCTGTGGCAGAGCAGATCTACATCACTCTTTCTATGTGTTATCTTGAGACAATCTAGTTGCAATGGCTTTTGATGAATTCACCACGTTTATAGGAAGCTTCATCAGCTCCCTACGTCCAAACAAGGAT